AACCACATGTGAAATAAGAACACCTTCTTCTATTTATAAGATAAAAATGTATATACAAAATATATACATTAACATATATATACAAAATACAAAACATAATGCCTTGAAACCGACGACATGATTGGTTCCTATGGCATACACTAACACATACTACCTCTCCAAGTGATCAACGATTGAAGGAGGGATATTTGGTTGCCCTAGCAACGTCGGGGCTTTTGAGACCAAGTATTTCTTCTTCGAGTATGATGAAATCTGTAAATTTAAGGAGCCGAGTGGGTTTTCTTTTTAATTTCCAAACTACTTATCCTTTATCTTTAACTCTTCCTTAATAAACAAGGCTAATGAATTTTTTGCTTTCTTGTAGAAAACAAAACGACTAGATTGTCAGTGCTAACTGATTTCATCTGCATCGAGGCATTTGGCTGATTGCCTGACTAGAGTCGTAACACAAAGCTGCTCATGACTACTGCCAATCTTCAAAAGTACGGGTTTTTCAGTCCTGAGGCATCTTTGGAAGCTCCATCTTGTAAGTATTTCTGACATAGAAAAACCTTAAGTCTTTATTAACAAAAGAAGGACTTTTTTTGCTAATGCCTTTTCATGCCATGCAGTAACTATGCCACCAAAGGTCCTAAAGACATCGAAGAAACTTGGGGGGAGGGGGGGAGGGGGTGGGGTTTACATTCCCCAGGATTAACCCGACCAAACTAGCAAGAGCGAGCTCCAGCGATATCCCATGAGGGGGATACGAATTGGTGCTGAAATGCAACAACCCCCTGAGCGATACAAGGAAGCTCCCTGGTTCGTGGCCGCTTGCTCTACAAAGTAGAAGACCATGGGCCAGAAGACCAAGAAAAGAAAACAAATAGCCACAGAAGAAGAAACTGAATCTGAATCAAAAGGCTTCAAGGTAGTGCTAGACAAGCTTCAGCCTTATTAAGTCTTCTCTATGGGGACATCCTCAAGTGATGCTCTTGGGACTTCGGCTACTCCTAGGAGTTCGCAAAGGGAAGAGGGAACGACCACGACTACTCTAGGGGAAGCAAATGAGCAATGGGTCAAAGGGGTTCCTACCCCCACAAAGCTAGACTTGTCCGTGTTGGATCTACTAGGGCAACTATCAGACCATTTACGGTTGGTGGTTTACACCCTCTTAGAATGCCAACTTGCCACAACCTTTGACAGGTTTGTGGTTTCTCGACCCACCGACCTAGTGGCCATCGCACTTCAAATGCAAAGTCAGGTAAAATAACTTGTTCTCTTCAAGAATTTTTCCATACAAGTCGACCTTTTAGTTTTTTAAGATCTTAAAAAACTAACATTTTATTCCTTTTTCATGTAGTTTTTGCTCGCCCTGAATGTGGCCCAACAGAGGATCAAGATCGATTCTACTGGTAAACTCCATGAATTGAAGGAAGAAATTGTCAAACTGAAGCAAGATCTCACAGCTTCAGATGTAGAGGCAAAGACTTCCCACATTTAGGCAAACGTGTACCTGATAGAAAGGAATTCTGCTATGCGAGCAACTGACTTTCAAAAAACTGAGCTCGAGAAGAAAGGTATCGATAACAAGAAGCTTTAACGAACAGTGGCAAGACTCACCAAAAGTTGAGATAGAGAGAAAAGGAGCTACAAGCAAGCTTGGAGCACGAAAAAGTAGCAAAAAAGACTTGAGCTAAGTTATAGGAAAACTTAGAGAGAGAGAGAGAGAGAGAGAGAGAGAGAATGGCACTATGAGCAGATCTTGAGATGGCTTAAGGGTGAGTCACTTTGCTAACCGAGTAGATGAAGCGATAGAACCTTGAGCTGGAGAAGAAGGCTGCTCACTGGGCACAAGAAGCTATTTATAGCTTACGGTTGAGAAATCTAGACATGGATATCTCCGACCTCCCCGAGGACTACCAAACCACTTTTATTGCTATGGTCAAGGCCGATGGACACGAGGAACAAGAGCCTACCCTGGAGAACGATCAGTAGGAAACATATATCCCTGAAGATCGAGCAATCGACCCGGAGGTCAGTAATCAGCCATACTACTAAGAGGTCGTAGCTAGGGATCGCAAAAATGAATACTAATGATCGTTCTCTTCTCTGCTTAAATAAAGTCTTTTTTCTTATCTTTTTTGATGTGGCTCCTGGCCGTCCCTTGTACATTTTTATGGAATATATAAAAAGGAATTTTTTACCAATTATGATAGCACTTTTATAACTTAAGCACTTCACAAAACAAATATAGCATATTTGATCATTGAACTTGTAAAATGTTATAAATAACAAGATTATTAAAAACTTGAGATTATGACACAAGTATTTCTTTGAGGAGAATTAAACAATCGTATTCATGATATTTACAACAATGAAAACTTTACAAGTAAAAAAATGATCAAGCAATAAGCAAGTTCGGAATTATTGATAATAAGGGCAAAGATATTCAGCATTCCAAGCTTGCGGCACTTCAGAATAGGGGTGTACACAAACTGAGCCGAGCCAAACAATGATAGGCTCGAGCTCAGCTCGCAATCTGTGAAATGGGCTCGAGTTCAAGCTCGATGAGTAGGGAAAATATGAGATCGAGATCGAGATCGTCAATTAGTCCGTGCTTGCGAACAGTTCGATTGGCTCGAGATTGTGTTGAACTCAATTCGATTATAGCCAAGCTCGTTAATGGAGCTCGAGTATGTGCTCATTACCAGGCTCGAAATCGAGCTCGATTTAAAAGCTTGAAATAATAGTTTTAAATTATTACAGTATAACAAACTGAAATTGAAACCACACATGCAATCAAATTACATTTTCAACCGAATCCAACTTGAGAATGATGATTACAGAATCCAGAGGAGAAGCTTCTTGATTAATATTTTCAAGATTAAGGAGCTAGTGCATATTTACATAATACATAATTATAAGGAGCCAATACATTTTTACATAATACATAATTACATTTAAAGGTTGGGACTTGGGACTTTGGATTTATCTCATTCACATGCATAATACAATGGCCAAGCCAACTGCTTCCAAAGTCCAAACTAACATAAAACAAAATATCCACCACCACTAGCCATGATACAACCTGTTGGCATTTGGCAGAGAAACACCAAATTTACAGCAGCTGAGCAGCCAAGTCGTGGGTCATCTACTCATTTTACCATTCACTAGACTTTTACCCTTTGAACCTGCAGCAACAAAATATACATCATTAGAATTATAGAATATCTAAATTTCATGCCAACATATTCTGTCTAGCAAAGAGCAAAAGACCTTACAGCAAAGTCTAGAACTCCATATTTAAAAAACCTGCAGTAACCATAAACACCCCTAGTTCAAATACCTGTAGCTGCAATAAATACCCCTAGTTAGAATTATAGAATATCAAAATTTCAGGCCAACATATTCTACCTAGCAAAGAGCAAAAGACCTTCCAGCAAGTCTAAAATTCCAGATTCAAAAAACCTACAGGTTGCAGCAACAATAAATACCCTAATTAGAATTATAAAATGTTAGGAATGAGGATAAACATATTATGCACAGCAAAGAGCAAAAGACCTTCCAGCAAAGTCTAGAACTCCAAATTCAAAAAACATGCAGCAACAATAAACACCCCTAATTAGAATTATAGAATAACTAAATTTCAGGACAAACATGTAAGGTAAAATCAACAAAATCTCCAGTTTAAAACTCAATGGACATCATATAAATAAAAACTTCACAATTTCAACAATAACATCACATAAATAAACACTGTGCAAGAGTCACAAGTTGAACAATAACATCACATAAATAAACACTTCACAAGAATCACATCTTTTCTCCATAGTCCATCCTCTCAAACAACATCACAAGTTCAACATTCAACAATAACGTAACATTAATAAACACTTCACAAGAACCACAATAACATCATCACAACTTAGGTTCACAACAACACTAAAAAAACCAACCTTTGTATTATGAAACATATCTCTTCTCCACCCTCTCAAACAACCAATAGATCCTTACAAAAACCAACCTTTATATGCAAAAAAATCCTGAACATTAAGACAAAAAGGCAGTTGTAAATGACATGTAAATGAAGAATAAAAATTGTTTTATTATGAAACATAACTACATAAGTGATTAAGAGTTGATGGATACATGAGGATTCTGGCCAAAAAATGCATTCAAGCTTTGTAAGCTTCACTCAATTGGAAGCTGAATCTCCACTTGTTTTTGCTCCTTCTAAATTACATCAAGGGAAAATATTACTTTCAGTTACAAAAATGAAAGTAACAACTAACTAGTAAGTGAAAATGCATAAATACTAATCACCTATTACAATTTACACTTACTTTGTTCTTTTTATGAACTCCATTGAGATGACGACACCAATCACCTCCACAAAGGAGCACTTGTATTGTTTTGGGAGACAATGAGGCTCGATACATTTCTATTACTCTATTGCCAACACTAAACGAGGCCTTCGAAGCCACTGTGGTTATAGGGATTGCTAGGATATCACGAGCCATCCTACTCAAGATTTGATACTTCATTGTATTAACCTTCCACCACTCCAATGCTTCAAATTTCATACAATTCCCCTCCCCAAACATGAAACAACCCTCTCCCAGATAAGTATCTAACTATGATTTCTCTGGTGGAATACTTTGAACTGTTTTCATATGTTCTGCAAACATTGCAAATCCAGACACATTAGGTTCTGTTTGTTCATTGCCCCGAGGAATCATTGCAGTTGGTTGTTCAATGTTTGAGGATTGAGATTGATAATCGTCAACATTCTCTTGGTAAATTTGATATAACACATCTTTAACTTTACTCTTATGTACTTGGGCATCAATCTCACCATACATTTTAGGTAAACAATAGTCCAACACTGCCATTTTACACCTAGGATCTAGGACAGCCGCTACACACATCAACAAGTTGCATTCTCCCCAATACTTGTCAAATTTATGTTTCATTTTCGTAACCATATGTCGAATAAAATCATTTTCATCCACTGACTTCTAATCTAGCATAACCTTAACCCGAAAAATCTCACTGAGATATATATTTGCAGTTGGGTATTCACTTCCAGAAATTACATTAGCAATGGTACTAAACACACCCAACACTTCACAAACTTGCTCCACCTTTACCCATTCCTCTACACTGGGACAACAATTATAATGTGGGTCTTTCTCTTTATACCTTTCAATGACATTTTTAAACTTCATTGCAATTGAGAACATCTCAAAAGTGGAATTCCATCTTGTCTTGTAGTCTAGGATCAACTTCCGGTTGGGCAAATGCAACATTTGCACTATCTCTAAAAAAACAATAAGTCTGCTCTTTGTTTGTTTCACATAGGCCACACTATCATGAACATCATCAATAATGGACCTTATTTGGGACAGCCCATCTCGAACAATAAGGTTTAAGATGTGTGCGCAACACCTAACGTGGAATAATCTCCCTCCACAAAGCAGCCTATTGTCAGTTGCCAAATTCTCCTTTAAAATCCGGATTGTTGCGTCATTACTTGATGCATTATCCACTGATATCTTGTACATCTTGTTCTCTAAGCCCCATTCCTTCAGACACTTATAAATTAAATCTGCAATTTGGGAACCAGTGCATGGAGGAGCTATGTACAAGAAGTTTAGAATCCGTTTCTGCAACCTCCAATTACCATCTACGAAATGCCCTATCAATACCATGTACTCAATCCTCTGATTACTTGACTTCCATAAATCGTTTGTTAAGCTTATTTTATCAACATCCTTCAACAAATTCTTCAGCTTTATCTTCTTCCTTTCAAACAAAGTAACAGCATCATTTTTACACATCATACAACTAATCTTTTCCCACTCAGGGATCACATACCTCTGCATGTTATTAAATCCTTCTTCCTCCACAATGGTAAAAGGATGCTCATGCATCAGCACCCAAGTGACCACTAATTCCCGTATTTTTGCCATGTCAAATTTACCTCCAGTAAGAACAAGGATAACATTACCTGCATCAGCCAGATTTTTTGCTTCAAAAAACCTTTGTTGTTGCTTTTCAAAGAGCTGTCGCCGTACACAAGTCTTCAAGTGCCTTGAGAGGTGAGTAATGCTCCCGGTGCTTGTTATGGCAAGCCTCCTTTTGCAATGGATGCATTCATCCTTCGGTCCACTAGAAACATTAATTTCTGTAAAATCCTTCCACACTACAGATGTCTTCACCCTCTTTTTCCTTGCAAAAGGGTTAACATCAGTTGCTTCTATATCTTCTTCATTAACAGCAGCTGCAGTTGCTGCATTACTGTCAGTTGCGGGTCGTGACCCTTGTGGAGTGGAACTCAATGGAGTCGAATCAGTCGATGCCATATCTATTCGCAAATAAGGAAAACACAAGATTAGTACCATCCATATAGTTACATGTTGAAGCTTGTTCAAGAGAGGAAGACAAAATCATATGTTTAATCATATGATTGAACAAAGACAAACAAAATGGAAATTGAAGCTTGTTCAAGAGAGGAAGACAAAGATTGACAACTAGCAATATAGTTACATGTTGAACTAGTGAAAGTATGTAATCTTCAATTCTGGAATTTCTCTGGAAGATGAAGACAAACCAATAATATAAATATATGAGACTAAAGATAAGGACACGCCATGGTTACAACACGAAGCATGATATGAAACATAAAACAAGTACAATAACTACATAGTGTTCGTTCTTTAATTCTCTTATATCAATCGAAATATCTACAATACTTGCAAACAAAACCATCATCAAACACATGAGATGATTTGATAACCGTCACATGCAAATCAGATAAAATAAAAAATCAAAACCATTAACCATTCATCATTCCCAGAAAAAAAAGAAACCGAAGTCCATTATCAACGAATAATAGATCATTCACTTACAAAATTAATCAAAACCATTAATGGATGAGCAATAAATAAACAGAGAGAAACAACTTTAGAATCAATTTTTCGGCTTACTTTGTAGGAAATCACTGATTCATTTTGATGTGAAGGTTGAAGCTTGAGAGAGGAATCTGTCTTCCCTCTCGACTGGTTTTGGGCACTGGGATTGGGGTTGTCGAGTTTAGGTTAGGGTTACAGAATACATAATACAGACTTGGGAGGTTGGGTTTGGGACTTGGGAGGGAAAGTTTCTAGGGATTGTGTTTAGATTTTAGGGATTTTGGGTATTTGTGTTTGTTTTTGGAGGGAAAATAAGTGGACTATGGGAGTCTGGGAGTTTGGGTCCTCTGGGAGAGGCGGAAGAGTGCCGTTTAGTTGAACTCGAAGATACGAGCACAAGATGGCGATCAGGTTCGAGCTTGATAGCTCGTTCATCGATGAGCTGGACAGAGACTTACGACCCTCCGAGCTGAGTACCACCATATTTGGTACTCGGTTTGTATAAGAACCGAGCAGTTTGAGACTGTGCTCGGCTCGTCAGACAGTGCGACGAACTCGAGCATTTGCGAGCCAATCCCGAGCAGTTCGCAAACTGCTTGGACCATGTACACCCCTACTTCAGAACCATTAAGTCTCTTAAGGTGATACGTTCTAGGTCGTATTACCTTAGCGACGCGATATGGACCTTCCTAGTTAGGCCCCAATACCCTCTCACTTGTCTCTCTTGCGCTGAGAAGGGCTTCTTTCAAAACCAGGTCACCAACCTAGAAGTCTCTTCTTTTGACTTTAGAGTCAAAGAATCTTTTTGCTTGCTGCTGGTAAGAAGCTATCCTTAACTGAGCTTTGTCACGGTGTTCCTTGATTAAGTTTAGACTAGCACGTAAGAGTGCTTCATTGTCTATTTTATTGTAGAATTGTCTTCGGAGTGAACCAGCTCCTACTTCCACTAGAATCATTGCCTCGCAGCCATGTGCTAGCGAGAAGGGTGTTTCTAAAGTAAAGGTTCTCGGAGTTGTTCTATATATCCATAGAACTTCTGGAAGATCATCGGCCCAATTGCTCTTGGCTGCGCCAAGCTTGGCCTTCAATGTGTACTTGATAGTCTTGTTGATAGCTTTAACCTGACCATTAGCCTATAGTCTTGCTACTGAGGCAAATTTCTTATGAATCCCTAGCTCTTCGCAAAATTGTTTGAATTTCTCATTGTAAAACCGTTTCCCATTATCAGAGATGAGTGTTTAAGAAATCCCATAGCGGCACATAATATTCTTGAAGACAAAGTCTGTAAGTTTCTTTGTAGTGATCACGACCAAATGCTTTGCTTCGACCTACTTAGTGAAATAATCCACTGCAACCACTACATACTGAAAATTGGAATGCATGGAGAATGATGCATTAATACTAGAATATGTATATTAGTATTTTGCAAAAAAAAATTCAATCAAATTGAAAATAAGTAAGGTATGGCTTGTTACCTTAAGCCCTTAGCAACCTTGGAGGCTTTTAATTTCAAGAGAAATTAAACAAAAGAGTATCTACACTAAGGTAAAAGAAGAATTAGGCCAAGAGAGACATTTAGAGTTCTTAGAATTTTTTATCTCTACACTAAAATTAATATATCTTTTTCTTTATATATGTAACCCTGTAAACAATTTGATAATTGTTTTGAACTTCTTTAAACAATTCCATAATGGTTTTGGAGTTGTAAATAATTCCATAATTATTATGAAATTATTAAACTTCTTTAAATAATAACATTGGATTAACATTTAATCACAATTAACAATTTAACTCTTAAATTGTTTACATAACAATTTAACCCTTAAATTGTTTATATGTTTACAATTACAACCCATTGTTAAATTCAATTTAATATAAAGAAAATGATTAATTATGAATTGGAATTCCATTTAATTCCAATTAGCAATTTAACTCTTAAATTATTCATAACAACTAATTTAACCCTCCATTAAATCTAATTCAATGATACTAATATAAATAACTTTATTACCCTTGGTAGGTGCTAGCCAACCTTGGATAATCAACTCTCTTTGGCTATTTCTCTATTCTCCTTAGTTTTATGTGTGACCTCTTAGGTTCACTGTGGCCTAGCCGTGGACCCAATATCATAGCCTATTCCGATATGTTTCGTCATAACTTTTATGAGCAAAACTCCCACCGATTATGGTTGGCATCTAGCAATGTTATAACCCCTAAGTCACAATGATGATATACTCCAACGAACCCTATTATAATCATACGCGTTGTGCAATCAAATCCTTTCGTTGTCTGATCCCAATTAAAAATGGATTCACGGTATGTCAAAATCCTTGTCTTAATTTTATATCAAATTGACAATCAATATATACGGAATGTGTTACCATGAAACAACCTTTCAGATAACATTTTATATACCCCGGTCGGAGATTTCCCTTTTCCAACATATCTTGACATTTATCTAGGAACTTGATATCAATCTATACCAAGTTAACAGATCCCATCTTGACTATCACTTGTCTTCACACATAAACAACACATGGCCAAATCGACTTATTAACACATGACATGATTAGCCTCATGTTTATAAACCATATGAACCATATGCATTTATGCAGAATCCAACCGTGATATCTCAGGTCTAAGGATTAATAATACACTAGTACGATCTTATGATGCATCATTGACTACATTTTAAATGTCCATGTGATTCATCATAAATGGCCATATTTGATAAACAGTTCACTAACCGCTTATCCATGCTAATGCCCTACTGATATAACTTTTATAATCACCCACACTAATACCATCACATGGTATTCAACAGAGGCATTTAGCATGCTTACTATGTAATATTATTACCCAATTAATATTACCTATGTAGGGAATACTTTGATGATTTTGATATTCTAAAGATTTGTATCATCCGGACATTTCACATATAATACATATATATAAATGAAGTAATAAACCACATGTGAAATAAGAACACTTTCTTTTATTAATAAGATAAAAATGTATATACAAAATATATGCATTAACATATATATACAAAATACAAAACATAATACCTTGGAACCGACGACACGATTGGTTCCTAGGGCATACACTAACACATACTTGATGCCCCCTCTACCGATTGGCATAGGTCCGATGAGATCAATTCCCCACATAGAGAATGACCAAGGACTAGTCATCGTCGTTAACTAGTGGGAAGGAGCTCGCGGGATGTTCGCGAATCTCTGGCAACTTATCACATTTCTTTACAAAGTTGAAGACATCTTCGTGAAGTAGGGGCAAATAATATCCCTGACAAATAATTTTATTGGCAAGAGATCGTGCGCCAGTGTGATTATGTAATGACTTCTTTCTACTAGTATACTTTAGAACATATACAATAAAAACATACATACTTAGCATATGAAAAATAGTTGGGCCCAAATTTTCTTTACATATACCAAAATAACAAGTACAAAAACTTTAGCAACAGTGGACAGTAATGCCAATTCTCTCTGCTTGTCAACTTCCTTTCGACCGCTGCTCACCTATTTCCTGTAAAACATTGAAAAAACAATGGGGTGAGCACAAAAATGCTCAGTAAGCAAATCCCTTATCTCTTCTCCTTCTTTTGTTCTTTCCTTACTTAATTCTCTTCTTCTTTCTTTCGTTCCTAGTTCTTTCTCTTTTCTTTCTCTATTTCTAATTCTTACTGTTCTTTCTTTTCTTCCTAATTCTCACTGTTCTTTCCTTCTCTCTGTTCTTTCTTTCTATTTTTTCTATTCTTTCTAACCATGATGGAATTCATGGTAATATACATGAATGATATGCATATACAATAATGCATAATAATGCATTTTCTTTCTTCTTTATATTTCTTATTCTATTTCTTTTCTTTTCTTTTATTTTCTTTATTTTCTTTTCCTTTCTTCTTGTTTGTCTTGCTCAAGCTTCTCTTTTCTTTCTTGTTTTTCTTTTCTTCTCTTTTCTTTTCTTTGCTTGTTCAAGCTTTCTTATTCTTTCTTTTCTTATTTTTATTCTTGCTTATTCTTTCTTTTCTTATTCTTTACTGATCAGTCTCGGTTGATGCATGGATTCGAAACCTTGGTCGTGTGAGTGTATACAGTCCTCATCTACATGCACTCTTGTGGACCGTACAAATTCTTTCTTTCTTCTTAGGCCACTAAATTAAGGTGGCGTGCATTTAGGAATTCTTCTTGGTACAACCCTCATCCACATACACTCTTACGGGTCGTACAATTCTTCTTCTTCTTATGCCACTCAATTAAGGTGGCGTGTATGTGGGAATTTTTTCTTAGCACTCACGGTTCCCCATTGCACAACCTGTTCTTTTCTCTTCTTTAATGCTTTTCTTTCTTTAATTCTTTAGTGCTTATTCTTTCTTTCTCGTTATTCTTAAAGTGTTTTATTCTTAAAATTCTTTATTCTTTCTTAAG